GAGGTATCTAAATGTGACGATGCGAACATAAAATCGTCGTCATAATTTTTATAGGTTGTGAGATACCCAAGTGTGACAATGCAAGTGTGAACTAATTGTCACTCGAATGACGACGAACTCATGAACTAATCGTCACTCGAATGACGACGCAAGTGCGAATCATTTGTTACTCGAATGACGACGCAAGCATGAATCGTTTGTCACTTGAATGATGACGCAAGCGCGAATCGTTCGTCACTCGAATAACGATACAAGCATGAATCGTTCATCACTCGAATGACGACGCAAGCGTGAATTGTTCGTCACTCTCATAAGTAGGTAATAGTCTAATGTAAGTAGGCAGCAATATATATATATTGCTGCCTACTAAATTTGCCTGCAAATATCTACCAATTAAGGGATAAGTTTTCTTTTATTTAAATTTAGAGATTTATAAAATTCAAATAAAAAAAATTCTTAAATTTTGTTTAGTATACTTAAAGTTTAAAAAATTTTAGTACAACTTCTATTTTAATATGAAAATTTATATTTATACACGGTGTGTTTAAACATGGTTACATGATCTACAAATATATTACATAATACAAACATAGTTACACAATCTAATATATTGCAAACACGGTTACACGATCTACGAATATATTGCATAATACTGCAACAAAATATGTCATTAATTTTAAAGTCCGACCATGTAAATAAAACAATTGTGTATCGAATAAATTCAAACCTCTCTACTCTTTTTTTTTATTATGATTTTTTTCCGCGGTTTGTTATGCAACAATACGATTTATATAGCACTATTAAAATCGACCAGCAAGAGAAAATACGTGTTTGTTCGACGATGTCACAGTCACGTGATAACGTAATTTTCATTTCCTAGTTTTTTAGTTTTTTCTAGTTCTAGCATTTAGTCTTTTAACCATATTATATAATTCTTACTCTGGGGACTTTTTATTGAAACCGAACAGGATGATGAAGCTCACATTCTCTCATCATCATCATTACCACCATATGAACATGTATTTTATCTTTTAATTCGTTGCATTTGAACGTTATAATACAACATACATAGTTCTTATTTACCCTGGGAAAATTTTTTTTTAATCGAACAGAGAAATGAATTTCATGTCTATGAACATGTAATTTTATTTTAGCTTATTCTAACTCTATGCTTAGTCTTTTAACCACATATTATAACTCTTACCTTGGTGACTTTTTTTTTGATTCGAATAGGAAAATATTTTCTCACCATTGCCATTGCTACTATATGAACACGTAATTCTTATTATTTTTATCTTTTAATCTATTGTGCTTTAGTATTATAATACAACTTGGTTCTTATCCTGTTGTTCTTTTAACTGTACTACATAATTTTTCTTTTTTTTTTTGAATAAATAGGAAGATGAAATTCATGTTGTCTCGCCGCAGTCATCACATGATCAAGTAGTTTTTATTGTTATCTTTTAATCCGCTGTATCTTGAGTTTTGCAACATAGTTCTTACCTTGAGAACTTTTTTTTAAATTAAACAGGAAGATGAATATTATGTTCTTTCACGGTCACCGCTGCATCACGTAATTTTTTATTATTTTCAGTTCTAGAGAAAACTCTTACATTTTATATTTTCTTGAATAGCAAGATGAAATTCATGCCGCGCCTTTGTCATCATATGATCAAGTAATTTTTATTTTAATTCAAATATCAACCCGTTTAATTCTCTATATTTTTTTGTATTCACTTACTTACAATGATATTTTTAACTGTTCAGATAGATAAAGTTTATGATCTTTCGCTCTTGTCACATGATTATGTAATTTTAATTCTATTCCGAGGTTTTTATGTTCTTTACTAGTCACTTTAAACAACTAATTCTTTTTTTTTTTTTTTTAATATGTAAAGCACTGATTTAATCGATGAGACATTCGGCAATAGTGAATCAGAAGACACTTACGATTCATTGGATTCTTTAGAATTAACGGCTGAGCTCTCTTTTAATAATTGGGAAAAATTCAAAACTTGGCTTCATAGATATGCATTAAAAAAAGGATTTAACTACAAAATTAGGACAAGTGAGTTTGATCAAGGTGTAATGCGAAAGGTTATATACGAATGTACTAAATCTAGTGAACACAACCCACAATTGACGATTGATCCGACTAAACGTTGTAATTGTTCTTCTCAAAGAACTAAATATCATTGGAGATTGAATGCCAGTTATCTAAAAATAACCAACAGAGTTAAAATTAATTCATATAAAGATAGTCACAACTATCTTTGTACACCTTTGATTAATAAAATTGCACCTCGATTTCATAAGTTAATATCTAAAATATTAGCAGACGTTAAAAAATATACAATTCAAGGTAGACTGGACTCCAGATCAATATATTCTCTGATCAAGCATGATTACCCAAACCATCCTCTGCAAAAAAAAGATCTGTATAATGCTGTTTATACTTTTCGGAAGAATAACAATCCCGGAGATATAGATGCCTCTGTTATGCTTCAAACACTATTAAACTGGAAAGAGTCAAATCCATTATGGATCATCAAGCCACACTTAGATAATATTTCTAAAAAATTGAATTCATTGCTTTGGGTATCGCCATTGCAAAGAACTCTATACGAGACTTTTAATGATATAATATTTATAGATACCACATCTAACACAAATCGATTTCAAATGATGTTGTGTGTTATTGCTATTATTGATAATCATTACAAAACAAGGATTATTGCATGTGGTCTTCTTGACGATGAAACACTAGAAATATTCTAATGGGTTTTTGAAACATTGCTTGAAGAAACTGGCATTGTTCCTACATCGATATTTACTGATAATGTCCCTGCCATTATAGGTGCAATAAAACATGTATACCCTACTACCAATCATATGTTATGTATATTTCATATTGACCTAAATCTTAAAAAGAAATTGAGAGGCAAATTGGGTTCTCATTTTGATACATTTCGATCAAGCTTCTATCATTGTCGCAATAGTTTATGCGAAGATCTTTTTGAGGACCGATGGATGGAATTATTAAGTGACTATCTGACTGCTGAAAAATATTTGAATAATGTTCTTTATAGTACTAAAGATTCATAGGCGACTCCTTGGATTAATTACAGGTTTACAGGAGGCGCACAGAGCACTCAAAGGATTGAATCTATCAATTCACTTATACATAAGAAAGTTGATCGTTCAACTTCCTTATACAATCTATTAATTAGCCTCAATGATTGTATTAATCAAAGTGAACATTTGACAAAGTTTGAAATAGAACGCAATGCTATTCCGACAGTTGGATTACCAATGTTAAATAACCATTTCTTTTATAAAGTTGATGAAATATTGGGAAAATATCTCACGTCTAATATTCTTAGTAAGCAGAGAGATCAAATGAATGCGAGCGTATGTTATGATGTTGCTCGTGTTAATGAATGGCAAAATTTAATCGAGGTAAATTGCATATTTTTTATGTTTATTAATCAATTCTAATTTTAATGTGGTTTTATTATCATAGACTGATATAGATAATTCTGAGATTGGCCTTTGGATTAGAGAACAAGATATTGATACATGTCAGATTTTATTTGCGTCATTACTAAAAAATATACCATTCAGTTCAATCTTTGAAGTTTGGCATGTTCGTGCCACAGGAACAACAGGACATGGCAACTATATTATATTGCTCAAAGACGGCACACATTTGTGCACTTGTCTTCTTCTAATTAATAAAGACTTAATTTGTCGCCACTTCTTTCGTGTTGGCACATATTTGTCTTTAGCCATGTTCTATATAACTCTAATTCCAAGCCGATGATATTTAGATCCTAAGGTCATTCAAAATGATTTGCTTAAAGAAGTTTCTGCCATTACCATTTCTATATCCGGACAAGAAACTCCAGAAGTCACACCGAATATTACATTGCAACAACTTTTTTCATTTTGTTCTAATGCCTCAAATTTTCAATCAACTTCCAGACCAGCCAAGGCAATATATGCAGAGCTATTTGGTTTATCTAAAAAGGCAGTTGACTATGCTATTAAAGCTGATATACGATCTGAGTTATCCAATATTCTTAAAAAATTTATTAGTGAAGCGCAAAGCAAAGTAAATAGTAATGAGGCTCAAGACGAGAATAATGATAATGATATTGGCAACCCTAGTGTTACCAAACGAAGGGGACGGCCTCCTAAGCGACTTCAATCAAGTGTTGAGGAAACAAATAAAAGTAATAAATGTTACTTAAGAGATATTAGTGAAAATGTTAATGTATTAGAAAATTGTATTAATAATGGGGATGATTCTAAAGGGCGAAGATGTGGCAAATGTAGAAAGTTGGGACACTATGCTAAAACTTGTACAGAGTAATGTTAATTAGTATTATAAAGTCATTTTGCAAATTTATAGATAATCAAATGTATTAGGTTAAGTCAATATGTATTTTAAAATTAGGTGTCAGAGATAATCATATAGAGAAGTTTACATATTGTAGCTTATAAATTGAGTCTTATTTGATGCTTAGCTAAATTTGTATACGTATAACATTTATTTGAGTATATTAGATCATTGAACTAATAATTTACTTTTTCAACGAATTTTAGTGAACATTAAGACCTTAAAGTTAAGTATTGAATCTTAGGATCGGTATTCTAAAGAGTAGGTTTTAAAGAAAAATGCCAACAATCATGGCTACAATTAAATATGTGAAGTAAAAAATTATAGCTAGAACAAAGGTAATAGAGTGTTTTATTGAATTTATCTGTTTGTGATTTCAAAGTTTTTTCTAATGATTTATTGATCTTTTCTCCTGCTAATAAATTTTTTTTGAGTGCTATCGAAAGAAAGTTTGTAATATGATTATTTTATGGGCTAGAGATTGTATAACTACATACCCATAATTTATTGACTGTAACCAGGTAATTTTTTAAGGAGTACGTATACACTACGTACATATGTATGTACATACGTATGTACTATCTATTTATTTGCCATAACTATAAAAATTTTTTTAAGTACGTATGCACTACGTACACTAGAGTTGGCTCCGAAAGCACATGATGCTAATTTGTCGCATGCTATTACTTATAAAAATCGACGATCTATTTGATTTTTTATAAGTAATAGCATGTAACAAATTAGCATCACGTGTTTTTGGGGCCAACTCTAACATACACTATATATTTGCTATATATTTGCTATAGACATATTGTATGCAATCTGGATTTGCGCTTCGTGTAATGCATCAATAGCATGCTCCGTGACCGTGTTTATACACACCGTGGGCTATAGCACAGCGTCCGGCGTACATGTTATCAGGACCGGCACATTTCCCGATCACGCCCGTTACACATAGTAAATGTCACACTTACGATTACCCAAATCGGCAAAATCGGACGATCCAAATAATTGCCAAAATTGGCAACCCGATTATCTATCAAAATATTATATTAACAATCTTTGATTATAAATCTTCGCGCTTATAAATATCTTTATAGCTTATTAATCATATCATTAGTAATAGCCATTAGTCATAGCTTACAAATCTAGCATT